CTTGTGTGGAAATTGGCATAATATTAATGCCTACTTGACTTCATAGGACTGTTGTGAAGATGAAATTAGTTAATACTTGGGACATCACCTGCCGCATAGTAAATAATTAATGGTATAAGTTATTATTGTTTCTCTTCTTAATCATTATTACTATGCCACATTGGTTGAACTATAGTTTCTAAACTAAAACCTCCTGCTTGAATCACACCTGAGTTTCACCTGAACTTGCCATGCTCTTTGGACACCAACAACTGCCTCTGTAGTCAGGTTCGTTTCCCCAGCAGTCTTTCTCATCTGTCTCAGACTTTACTCTAGCTTGAATCTGCCTCATACTTGAGTGTACTTGAGTCTTCACATTATGGGACTTTGTTATTTCTGTGCCTAAGGGACTTGGTACACATTGCCTTAAAACTTCTTTACTCCTTATTTTCTCCTCTGTTAACTTGTAGGCTCTTTAGGGTCAGGGATCTTGTCATTTACAGTCTTGTGTCTCCTACTATATCTTATATATGAAAGATCCTTAACATATATATTCTGAATAATTGAAAGATTATCCATATAGAATACAATACACATCTTAAAACTTAAACCCTCAATACTTCAAGCCAAAGTAGCTATTAGAAATAGGGTTTACATTTCTAATTTTTGGTCCATTGCGTATTTGTAAATTACCAATCCTCCTTGATACCTTAGAAAAAATGCGGTTAATGTAAGTTAAACAAATACATATTAATTACCTACTATAACTTAGTCACTTTATTAGGCTTTGATGATAACAAATAAAAACAAACCGAATCACTATTCTTAGCCATTTAAAAAAAGGAACAAACATGTGGGTGCAAATTCTTTAATGTGTTAATTCAGTGAGTTTTTCAGTCATTTAACAATTATTTCAATACACATGGGGGAAATGAAGAATAATTCTTGGAACAAGGGATTCCCCAATAAGGTGCTTATATGCTAACATACATGATGCTCTTACATTTTATGTTCTTAGACCTATTTTCTGCTTATCCAAAAATCCTATGATATAGGTATGGCAAACCCAATGAAACCATATTTTTCAGATGAGGAAATGAAGAATTATAGGAATTAAGTGATTTATACAAGATCATATGATGAGTCAATAGTATAGTTAGAACCTAGAAGGCAGATCTCTACAACATCAAATAATCAGGTAGTGTAGTAGGCTAAACCATGTAAAATTAGCATTTTGTTTATTAAAACTGGTTGAATATTGTTAGTTTCAAATAGTTCAAGCTAATATAAACAAGGTCTAGGTAGTTTCAGAGAGAACTTTGTTTCTGAGGGAACTTTGGATGGACCATTTTGTGAGACTGTTGGCAATAAAAGTGTAGAAATATCAGGTCCACATTGTGTGTGGGTGTAGGGGGATCTTGATAAAAAAAGTCAAATGAAAACTTGTATGTTGTTTGATAGCCCCTAGAGAGACCTTCTAGTATTGAAATAACAACATGGAAGCCCTGAGCTAGTAAGGCTGTGATGTGAGTGCATATGTGTGTGGGCATGTATTTGCGAATGCACCTGTAGGTCAGTGTGGAGAGACGCTAGAGTTGGGGAGTTTGTTAAGAGTCAGGTTCAGAAGTTTGGGAGTGAGTAAATGTTGATAGTGGTCCTGGGCACCAGAGGGAAAGGATATCATTAAGAGCCATTTCATGGGAAGAATCAAAATAATTTCGTAATTGATTTTGTGTAGTGATTGCGGAGAGAGAAAGATACAAGGTGATTCCCAGGCTTCAAACCCAGGAGTTGCAAACACAAAGTGGAAAGTTAGGAGGAGGAGCTTGTTTGGAGATGAGAAGGTGACATGATGAGTTCAGTTTTAGAATCGGAGCAGCCAGTATTCAATTAAACGTGTCCAATGGGTAGCTGGAAATATGGGTAACAGCTCTACAGAGGTTGGGGGTGAAGTCAAGCTTATAGTGAGAGTGATTGAAATCATAGCATTAATTGAGCTTATTGAGAAAGATAGCATTGTACAGGATAGCAGGCAAGAACAGAAACTTAAGAGCCTAGATTTGAGGGAACTATACAGAAAACATGGTCAGGCTAGGAGGTAGAGCAGCAACATTTAGAAAAGGATCATCATAAAAGAAAGTTTGTCAAGATCTAGTGATAACTGAGCATATGAAATTGTCTTAGCAGATTCAGTGAAGATGAGGGCATAGAAAAGGCCAATTTGAGAGTATTTGGTAAGTAGAAGGCCAGAAGGAACCCTCAAAGGTTAATTTTCTGTATAGCAGTTCCAGTGGAAGACAGAATGTTAAAGTTTAGAGAATAAATAATGAAGAAGTTGAAGCAATAAGTGGAGGTTTACCGAGCAAAGTGGACTGTTTTTAAAACCTAGGAGTCTAAAACTGTTGGAGGAAGGTTGGTCTGATTAATACTTGTTTAATTATTTTGGAAATTATTTTGGAAATATGTTTATATATGCAGATTAAGGAAAGAGTCAAGATTCTGTCCTTTCAAATTTAGCAAATATTAGATGAAAGTTTATAAAGTTATTAAAGGGAGAGATATAGATAGTACAATTTCCAAAAAGCTACTTTTCCATACAAAAGTGCACAAAATAAATGAAATGGAATAACAAGTGCAATGCTAGAAAAATGAGCTCCTGACAAATCAACTGCTTGATCATTCCTTTCCAGTGAAGCCCATCACACTTTTAAATAGCTTTTCACTATGGCTAAGAGTTATACTATTTAATAGTAATTTAGATATACTGGGTTATTAAAAGAATACAGTTAATCTTATATGATCAAAGCAATAAGAGAAATATAATAAGATACTTTTTCCACGTGATTGGTAAATTATTTCTGTTATTCTACAGTACCAAATACAAATAATTTGCTCAGGTTTGGTTAGAAAAGTTTATACATATTTGTGTGTATATAGATATAAAATTTCATATATATGTATATTAAATGATAGTTTTCCTTTAAGTTACAACCAAGATATGAACCATAAGTGCATTGCTCTGTTGCTAATAAAAAGGATAGAGTTAACAATTTAGAAATCTTAGCTTTTCTCCATGTCATAAAAGAATGTGCTTGGAATTAGAAGCATAAAGCAATGTTTTGTTCAAAACTATTTTTCTGCCATTAATAGAACAGGGTCACTTCTGTATTGAACAACACATAGCACAAGGATACTCTCTAGAAAAATGCAAATGGATAGAGCGAGAAATAATATTATTGACACACATTATAGGGCAGGTACTATTGTAAGAATGTTAGATTAGGTATTAAATCACTGTATGCTTCCCACATCCTCATGCAGTAAACGCTATCATCATCACTTTACAGATGACAGAGATATGAAGAGATTGCTTTGCTAGAGGCAGGAGAGCTGGAATTTGAACAGGCAGTCCAGCTTAGCAGTCTGTGCTATTTCTAAGGGTCATTGGCTGCTTCAACTAGAAAAAAAATCTGTTTTGAAATGATCTGAGAGCAGGAAGCTAAATTAGAAGTAATTTTGGGTGACTGCATCTGGATTCACTCTATCAAGGTGGAACCAGAGCATACAAAAGTGTGCTACCTTCTTTGGGAATAAATTGACCGTGGTAGCTGTAAACTCCTATTCTTGGAAGGTGCTTTTTTAATACTAGAAAAGATAATATACCAACAAAAACTCCCCTGGAAATAAAGGAATTGAATTTCTTTGGACTCTTGTGTGTCACTGCAAACCCTGTAATGATAATTGTGTATCTACACTACGGCATTTCACTGTGGGAGGCTTGGACTCAATTGCAGTTACTTTACCAGTTTCATTGCCTGCTCATTAGCTAAATGATAAAATCCCAACCAGTAGAACAGATGTGGACATAGATGCCCTGCTCTGTGTGTGGCAAATGAAGGACAGTAAACATATGGGCAAAGTCACACCTGAGTACTCAAAAGTGATAGGACAAGCGGTCCCTGCTGAGAGGAGGGAAGGAGATGACACGAAGGGATGTTTGCTCAGTAGTAGGACACGGAGCAGGAGCCAGGACTCTGGAAAACTCCAAATCTGATACCTGATTTGCCTAGTTTAATTCATTGATTTACTCAACAGACCCATTACCTTGGGAAGGAAGGCATGAGTCTCAGTTTTCTGTAGTTTCCCAAGTTCTCATGATAGTCAGTCTTGTTCAAACTTTCCATAAGTAGACAGAGAAAGTGATGGGTCCAAACTATGACAGTCTAACCATGTAAAACTTTCATTAATGTTTTTATCTATATTCCATGAGAAGTGCCTCTGTGTCATATACACTACCTGTTCTATGGTGTGTGTTGTTTGGAGGAGGTGGGGGATTATTAATGTTCCTGCCAGTTACATTTTTTGAAAATCTTCATTCTAAGTGTCTGGAGGGCACAGTCTAGGTCCCTTGTGCATGCCACTTTACAGCCTCTGCTGTAAAAGCCTGGGGGTGGCAGGGGTGGAGCTGGGGCTTGGTAGGAATGTGGTAATAAAAAAGTAGTTAGAAAGTACATGGAAGGATATTCAAAGAAAAAAAAATCTTTCTGAGCCAATACAAATTATCTACAGGATATTATGTGCCGTTTTGAGATATTACACTTATTATTCTAAATATTTTACATCTTGATCATGGATTGGTAAACTTCTATAATGGGTAAGATGGTAAATATTCTAAGTTTTTCAGGACATATGGTTTCTGTAGCAACTATTCAATTCTGTTGTAGTAAAGTGGAAGCTGCCATTGATAATAGACAAACGAATGAGTACAGCTATGTTCCAATAAAACTTCGTGTACAAATTAGTTCATATACACTGACACTCATATACACAAACATATGGGGACTGAAAAACAGTAAGCTTCCCCTGAATCTTTTTTCTTAACACACTTATCACTTTGATCCAACTTCTGACCTGACTTCATATTCTCATTCACACGTTAAACATCTGTTTGGTCAGTGCTACCCTATGTCAAGCATTGTACTAAACACACAAGTATAAGGAAGAAAAAGGTAGTTTCTTACCTCAAGAAGCTTGCTGGTTGGTGAAGAAGATAGGTAAATGCAGATAAATGCAAACGCTCTGTAGTTTGTGCCATGATAGCTCTTGCTCGGCTATGATAGGCCAAGGGGGACACAGAGACCTAGTAACTAACCCCTTCTTCTCAGAAAGAGATGACTGAGGGGAGTCTTCAAGAACTTGTGGGATTTATGAGTTAGCCAGGGAAAGAAGAGGATGAAACATATATGGATGTGGGTGAGGGTAGGGCATTGGGAGAGGAGCTACAGCAGGGGGACTTCATATGTCTTCCCCAAAAGCTTGCTTTTCTCCTGGGAGAAGGGCCTTGTTTGAGTAAAATGACATTTCTTCTATTAAAAGCTTCCACAGATTTCTTGTGAATCTATATGGGTCTTTTTTTATGTGTGTGTGCTATATCACCTTCTGTCTTGTGTTATAGTTATCTTGCACTTGTCTTCCTCCTGCCTATTTTATTTAATTTGCCCAGAAAGGAGAACTCTGTCTTACTCTAATTTGTATTGTCTCCTAATCTATAGGTTCTATCCTTGGCTGGGTCTTGAGACCTGGTTCATTACTTTTCTTTGATTCCCACTCACATCTATCCCCCCCCCCCTTGCCTCAATCCTGGCTGCAGTGTTCAAGTTGCCCATTTCAGTTTTGTTTTTAATTCCCAGGACTGAGACCTCTCCTGACACATAGTTACAGTTATAGTTATGATGGAGTTTGACCAGTTCTATTAAAAAGAGTGTTACAAGATAAAATGACTATATTAATTTCAACAGATTCTTAGATTAGGTGCACAGAGAATGCAAACAGTTAATGGGAGCAGGAATTCTGAGATTTGACATTAAAAGGGCTCCTAGTGCTTTCATTTTTAATTATGTGCCTGAAAAGTAATCAACTTGAGATGAGGAAGAAGAGTGGAAAGTCGTACTTGTGGGGTTGTGTTCTATTTTGTTCTGGGTAATAAGAATAGGCTGGTAAGTGTTCAACTGGGGGAAATATGGAGGAAAGGGTTAGTGATGGTGAACTAGATTCAGAACCTAATTTGGAGAGGAAAGGAAGCTGTGTGATAACACAAAGAATGAAACTGAATTCATGTAACAGTATTGAGTACCAACTCTGAACCATATACTGCAATGTAATTTCAATCTAGAAACTGGAGGATAATCAGAGATAGGACCATTGCCATTAGGAGCTTGGGTGCAGTCCCCTCATCCAGAGACACAAAGCTGTCTTCAGCCTCAGGAAGAAGAGCAGACTTGTTTTGGAAAAGCTCTGTAATGACCAGAAAGGCCCCTTTGTTGAAGGAAATAATCTCTGCCCATACTTTGGGATGAGAACCAACACCTCTCTAAATGCACTTAGTTATAATTGTGAACTAGGAACCGCCAGTGATGTTCTTAGACTAAGCTAGACATAGATGTAATGAGTAGGAGACCGAACAATGACCTCTAGGGAACCCAAGACTGATGGAGTTTTTACCAGGCAAGGATAGAGTGACAGGTGTCACTATAGCACAACTATTTGATAGGTACTAGGGACTGAATGTTTGTGTCCCTCGAGATTCATAGGTTGAAGCTTAATTCCCAGTGTGATGGTGTTTGAAGGTGGGTCCTTCGGAAAGGAATCAGGCCATGAGAGTGGTGCTCTCTTGAATGGGATTAGTGTCCTTCAAAGAAAGGAAAGAAACTAGAAGTATCTCTCTCCCTCACCTCTCGCCCCTCTCTCTGCCATGTGAGGACATAACTAGAAAGAAGCCCTTACAAAGAATTGAATCAGCTGGCACTTTGTTCTTGGGCTTCCCAGCCTCCAGAACTGTGAGAAATAAATTTCTGTTGTGTAAGCCACCGAGTCTATGGTAATTTATTACAGCAGCCCAAGAAGACTAAGACAATTTTCAGCTGACGAGAAGGAGAGAAATAATTATTGTTTGCCTACTGTGGCTGACTTTATTTTCCAAAGAAGACTGCCCTGCATGCTCTTCTACAATAATGAGACTTTGCCACTGTCTCATTCATAGTGGGAATGTGACTCTCCTACCCTTGACTACAGGGGGCTTGCTGCAGCCAATAGGAGTGGTGGTAGTGACGTGGTGTGGCCTTTGGGGCAGGTCATGGCAGAAGATACAGCCTCAGCTTGGCTCACTGCTACACTCATGCATGGGGCCCTGAGGTGCCACATCAAAGTCTGACTACCCTGAGGCTGCCATGCCCTTTCCAAATTTCTGGCCCACAGAATCCATCGCATACTATAATAGTGGTGGTTTTATGTCACTAAGATTGAGGTTATTTGTGATGTAGCAGTAGTAACTGGGACACCTATTATGAGTCAGGCACTGCAGTTAAGCTTTTATGTACATTATTTCACTAAATCCTCAAGTCAACCCCTAAAGATTAGTCTTGTTGCCTCAGTTTCCTAGATAAGAAAATCAAGGAGGAGAGAAGTTAAGAAACTCATCCAAATTTATAGCCATTCAGTGGAAGAACCAGGATTCACATCAAGGTCTAGCCAACCTCAGTGCCTGTAACCTTAAGTAATACTAAAAGTGTTTCCAAGGCAATGATAAGAATTACCTGGTAATGGTAATGTCCACTTTAATTCCATGGAATCACTTTAAACAAAAACCCCAGATGATTTTTTTTAACTAGTGGAGAAGTTTGGTAATACTATTACACTCTACCACATGAACTAAACTAAATTTTATAAATAATATTGCAGCCTTTTAGTGATGCTACTTTGGAAGACCACACTGACACAGAATTTGGCAGAAAATAAGTGATCAATAATTGAGTGCTAAATTGAATTGACTTTTGCAAATGATCTAACTCTCGCCACTCAAGAGTGGTTCACGAATCAGCAGCAGAAAATCAATTAGGATCTCTCCAGAAACACAGACTCTTAGGCCCCGTCTCAGCAATATTGAATCAGGATCTGCATTTTAAATAATTTCCCCAGGTGTTTCGAATGAATTTGAAGAACGCCGATTCAACTGATTTTGGTACTCATTTAGGACAACTTCCCAGCAATGGGTTAGTCTATTTGCTACTGAGTTCTCCAATGTGTTACTGTGAAAAACTTAAAGAACTCCCAGGAAAATGATTCTACGACATGGAAATTTTGTCTTCAAGTCAATCCTTTTTGAAGCTATAGAGATAGACAATTGGAGCTCTGAAACCTTGTGGTTACATTCTGTGCAGATGAAAGTTAAATTCTGCTTAGTGCCTTGCCTGGAAAATTATTTCCTAACTTTTCCAGGTACTCGTATTGAGCAATCCCTCAAGAAGAAAATAGTTTTATATATACAGGGTTTGTAAAAGGACTCTACAGTCATCTTGCTAATTTATTTTCAAGCATGGTAGGCGGGATCTATTTAATTGATTTACCAATACATCTTCATAATACAGTTGGTTTATACGCAGATTACACAGATGACCTATACAGTAGTATCTGTCTGCTCATGTTATTGGAAAAGTGTTGCTGAGATATATTATATTTTATCTTCTAAGTAGTGGCTCCAAAGTCTGTGAAATGATGACCAAAACACCTCTTCCAGGAAGTCCAGGAGAAAAAATACATTTTATCCTTAGATTTACTTCATTTGTAATTAATGATCCTTCAGTGCTGGTCTATTATATAATTATAAACACATGTTATTTAAAATACATTTGTTACCACACATTGTCTTTAACATCAGTCTTGCATTATGCATGAGCCAGGACGGTTCAGCTAACTACTGTAGCTTAGGACACTCTATGCCTCCCAGGAGTCACAGAATGTGAGGGCAGAGGTAGGGAACAAGGGGAAGACTGTATCTTGGGGGAGAGAAGGCCTTAAAGTCCTCAGAATGCTCTTTGCTTAATTAAATGACATTTCATAATCACCTTTGTCAAATGTCCCAAGCAACACCATCACTCTCCCTCAAAGAACTGCCCTTGTGGCCCCAGCCACGGAACAGCCCCATAATGTACATTATCACAAGATGCAAGTATAAATTAGTTTAGTTTGTTTTTTATTTTTTAACTCCTTTAGTAAAAAGTCCTTTAGTGAATGACAATTTCTAGTCTCTCAGTAATCAGATTGTACGTTCAGCAACATTTTCTTAGCATCAATTTAACTTTCATTTATGTTTATCTCTAAGAAAGAAATGAGTGTCAGGCCCATTTTTTTTCTTCTGTCAGTTCAAATGGGGCCCAGCCAATTATCTTTATGTATAATATTTCTCCCTGTACTGCAAGAATATTATCACTCCCCAGCCTTCTCTTTTCTAGAGTAGGTAATTCCAATTGCTTTTACCTTTTCTCACACGTGTCATTTTCCTTCCTTTTAATCATCATTATGACTATCATCTGAGCTATATTCCACATGTTATTTTATTTGTCATAGATGTAGAACTCAATAGGAGATGCTATACTTCATAGGGTTATGGCATATGGAGAATAATGTAATGATCACTTCCTTGGGATTCATTCAATAAACATGAAGTCTATATTATCTATAAATTTTTTGTCATTTAAAGAAATAACTTTTACCAGGTGCAAAATCAAATTCCATAGCATGAATAATATTAATAGTTAAATCATTTAGGGCCATTAGGACAACACTAAGAAGGTTCCAATTCAAATACATTTTTGAAATGGGTGAACAGCAATGTGGCAGAAATATGTTGAATTAAGATCGGAAGTCCCAGCTCTCTAATTAATGAGCTCTGTGACCTTAGAACTAGTATGTTAAGACTAACAAAAAGCATGGCCAATGTAGGCCATGTCAACAAAAGTGCAACATGAGCCTCTTGCCATGAGTAGTTCATACCTAGAATATTTTGTTCATGATCCCTTTCAACAGCATCATGAATGGGCTGGAGTCTGCCCAGAGACCAGTTCCTATGAGCAAAGATTGTATCCTAGCCATCCTTACAGCCTCATATATAGTCCCTGACATGTATCAAGTTGCTCACTGGAGTATTTGAGAAAAAAGTAATAAGTTTATTAAGTACATAGTGAACAGTCTGGCAACTAGAATATTTGAGTTCATGAAGAGGCTGTATGATAAATAAGGGACCTAATAGAGGAAATTCATATATCATAAAAAGGACTATATTCTAGATAATATAAATCATTTTTTTAAGATAGAGTTTTCTGAAAACAACCCAAGATATAATGAGTCAAAGTTGTTGGTGATTGGGAGGGGAAGGGTCTGAGCATCTGTAATTTTTAGAAACCTCTCCGAGGAGTCTTATGACCCAATGACATTGAGGACTGTGCCCCATTTCAGAAGTCCATTCCAGATTTCAGTGTCTATGTTATAAAATACCTTTCCCCCCACCAGGGGCCCAGTTTTCCACAAGGAAAGATCTTGCCCTGTTGAACTTTAAAGTGCCTGCCAGCTCTACTTTCCAGGAGCCCCTGTTTCTCCTGGTGTCTTCTAGACCTTTCAGTGGTCCTTTTCCAGTGCCAATAGCCTCATGCTACCATGTGGGAGCTCACGTCTTCCTCTGTGATATTTCCTACCTGGCTCTGTTCTTCCTACAGGGTGCCTCCCAACTGGCTCAGACTTTCTCTTTGCCTCAAAATGTATGTGTTCTAGGTGTTATTCCCTTAACAAGGTAACAAGTACACTTTCATAGAGATCTTATGTAGATTATAATATTTCTTTGGCCCACTGATAGATATTTTATGGTTCCTTTAAAATCTTATTATAAAGCACAGTGCTGGGCTCCAATCCCAGTAGCTATGTTTTTCAAGCTTAAATTTAGGTTTACTCCAGTGGCCTAAGTTTAAGATCTGAATTACCAAATTAGAAGAATAATACAATATCTACTATAAAATAAGCTATTCTTTGCATAGGAAGATAGAGGGTGTATAGCATATTTAGACGTTACTTGATCAGATCCCTTTTTTATTTATGCCAGGGATGGGTAGAGATTTCCAGGTTTTTAGGGGTCAAATGAATGCCTCCTAGATTTTTCCCTTACTTGCTATTTCATCCAAGAAGCCATGAGGAAGAAATTAAAAACTCATCAACAAACCAGCATGAAGGCTGGGATGCTGGAAGCTTTCATCTGTTAAATACTATGCTCCCGTGTAACCCCTTTTGAACTCTTCTTCTGCTCAGTAGATTAATTTGCTACTGATTTGGTTCTGAGCAATGGGGATTCTTGAGAGGACAGCTGTCTATATAGCCAGCGAGCAAGAATGTAGGTACCTAAGCAGGGTGTGTGTCAGCACCCCAGACAGCTGATATGGTAGAGCATTCATTGGCTTCCCACTGGGGCCTGAGAAAATCAAAGGTTTGGCCAAACTACCTCAATCAGCTCTTTCTCCATTCCCATCGCTTTGTCATTTCTTTCCTAGCACACAGAAAACTTGTTTATTTGTTTATTGTTTGATTCTGTCTACCACAATGTAAACTCTAATAGGCACAGTTTGTTCACTTCTGTATCTCTAGTATTTAAAACAGTGTGTAATGCATAGTGGGTGTTCAATAACTATTTATTGAATTAACAAATGAATGAGTGAACACTTTCATACAGATTATAATATATGGACTTCTTTGAAGTACTGGATATTGGCCATATACACCGTAAGGCGTGGTACTAGTTCATACTGGATTTACCACTATGCTTTGCTCTGTTGTGGCCATCTCTGACAGAATGCAAATTGAGAAGGGGATAAGTAGCAAGAGTGTGGAGTAAACAAAGAGTTCAGAAGGAGGAACTGGGCTCTCTTGTACCCATCTCACGGCAGGGCCAAGGCATCCAGACCACTGCCTCTCCAACTTTCTTTTATTTCTTGGTATTCCAGAACAATGTGTTTTACACTTTCATTATCAAGTTCACTCTGATCTACTCCCATGATTTCACTTATCTCTATTCCAACTTCCATTCATCTTCTGATGTCTAAAGCTGTTTTAACCAACTGCTCAATGGGGCCTCAGATACAAAGTGCTCAACATGGTACACTTGATGTTGCCGGCTTCACACCTGCATTTCCCTCCCAGTAGCCTCTATCTCAGTGTCCTGCCAGTTTCTCATTGAACAAACCCTGGAGTTATCCTAAGTTCTTTATTTTTCTTTATTTCTACATTCAATCACCAAGATCTATTCTGTGTCCTATGTAGTTTTAGAGTTTATCATCATCTTCTCATCTTCATTTCCACCATTTAAAGAATTATCTCACCATTGATCACCATTAATTACTTCAAGAATGGTAGGCCTTTTCACCATCCTTTCAAGAATTGTTTTTTGGAGCAGGCCTTTGTGAGAGGTGGAAAGTGCGGGTCCTGTGTCAGTCCTTCCCTCTAGCTGATTATCCTCAGAGATGAGAAGTGCGCATGTGCGAGACAGGTAAAAAGTGCGGCCCTCCTATTCAGGCTGATTTGATGACTCAGCTCAGAATGGAAAACAGTTCTGAAGACAAATCTATGATTAGGCATGGTCATCTGGGTTTTTTGAGCAGTAGGTAGCACTAGTTTTGAAAAAATCATTATTTTAAGTGTTATTTTATCTCTTAAGTGTTTTTTATCTCTTATTCGAGCTGTTGTAATAAATAACTGATCTTTCTCCTTCCACTGTTGTCCTGCCCCAGTTTGTTACCTGTAGGATGTTCCTGTGGCCTGTGAGGCCTTTCTGGATCTGGCTCTCGCCTACCTTTCTGGTCTTAGCTTATACCACTTTCATCCTTGCAATCTACTCTGCAGCCACCAGGGTCTTATTGAGCTTTGTGACCTTCAGTCATACTAGAGCTGTATTCTTTGGTTCTTTGACCAGCTAAGTCTTACTCACTCTGCTTATGGCAACTTGAAGGGTTTCACAGAATAGCACACTTTGATTACCCAGTCTAGCTAGATTGTCCCTTTAGATGCTCTTCTAGCATTTCATACTTCTCCTTTGGTATCATTCATCACACTCATAATTACTAGCTCAGTACTTGTATTCCTCACTAAAGTGTAAGCTCCACTGCTTGACACATAGTCAGTGCTATATGATGTTGAAAGAATAAGTACTCTCCCCCCTTTCCTTCCACCACTGATTTATCCCCAAATTTATGAAATGTTATATTTTGGGGGAACTCTGGACCCAAAAAGTTCATCTGAATCTATCCCTTTTGTTCCATTGCATTTTGCATAAACTTCTATTATAGCATTTTTCACTTTGCATACTCATTTTCTAGTCACAGATCTGCTCTCTTGGACTGCCAGCTTCTTCAGAGAAGGTCCACATTTTATTTATCTATATATGCCTGGTACAGTGTTAGCAATACCAGAAGTGTTCAATAAAATTTTGCTACATGAACATATGAAGGAATTTCCCTGAGAATGGAGAGAATAGAAGAATGTTTTATTTTTAGTCTACCGGTTTCTTCCTTTTCAAGATACTGAAAGTCCTTAGGGGCTATGATTTTAAATAACTGAAGAAATTCTTATCTGATTCTTAAACCTTGAGAATTCAGTCTTTTTCTACAGATTTGTATTACTCTAAATAAGGAGTGTGAATATTCTTTCACTACATCCTTTTTTTCCCCAAAATTGCTTGATTAGAACTTCATTTGTATATATGAATAGTTTATTGGAATGTTTTCCTTGGTCAAACCAAAGTAGAACAGGCTTGGTTATTAAAGGGTTTTTCAAAGGCCCAGGATATTAATGTAATTGTTGTTCCAAATGAATTCAGAAATGTTTTTGATTCCACCTTGCCAGCCAGTCAGTGCCAGTCAGAGCTTGAAAGCAGTGGTGGCTCAGTTTAGATCTCATTTATAGAACGTAGGTGGGTCTCAGCTTTTCTGTCAACAAGACAACCTTGACAACCAGAGAAGTTTCGAATTGTAAGGTTTCTCCAGCAATGTTTATTCCAACCTTCTGTATTCAACATAGGACACTGAAGCCCTGAGGGGTTAAGTGAGTTGCTTTTGGCCACAACCTAATAAACAGCATTAATGCTACTGGAAGCCAGGTGTCCTGATTTCTATAGTTGGATAGCCTTTTTCTCTATATCACCTCTTCCACTATGTAGACTTGCCTCTACAGAGATAGGTGGTAACTGTGAGAGAATGTGTGAACAACTGTGCTTAACATCAGTGTCCTTGGAAATAACACCCCTATCCTCTCCTAGCAAACCAGCAATTAGTCTCAAGTGTTTGGAAACAAAATGACTATCTCTAGTAGAAATGGTGCCTGAGATTTGCCAAAGAAAAGCAGAGTGTCCTTTCAAATGCTCCCTTTCTTTTCTCCCTCACTCTCCTCACTCTCTGTCACACACACCTCATGTATCATTCTCATTCAAAGGGTCAGATTATAATAAATCTGAAAGCAAACAGTGCCCTGTTTGTTTAGCAGTGTTTATTTAATTGACTAGGTCTTTACATTTAAATCTTAGGTGATGGTTATTTAGGGTAAATTGTGATGTGGAATTCACGCATGGATGAGAGTGCTTGCTTCACAGCACTGAGATAAATGCCACGCTGAAATAATGTCTTAAGGTCAGGTAGGCTGAAGTATGTAAACGGTAACAGATTTACATTTCCATTTTTATAAAATCCTGGTAATAAGGAACATTTAAGGCCTAAAATATCACACTCAGCAATGAAGACATTAATTTTGCTTATACAACACTATTCACACTTGCAGGATTTCTGACAGTTTCAGGAACCCATGAGAATTAAGAGACCTCTAGCAAATGAATGCACATCAATAAAATACCCTTAGTGTGGCTTTTTTTTTTTAAAGCTGATCCCATATTTTCCACTTAAAATCACTGACAGTGAAGATGGTATGTGCAATGTTTTACAATGACTTTTTGATGTTTTCTTCCTGTTCTGAATATTCTCTTTGTGCTTTTGAAATCAATAGTGCTGCAGTTTTACCTGTTCTTTAATATTTCAAAAGTCCTTTCTTCAGAGCCCATCTTTTCACACCTATTTAGTAAGCCTTGACAAACCCTTACATCCATGTCTTCAAGTAACAAGAAGGATTTCCCACTGCTCCAGTTTGCTTTTTGAAGGTGAGGCATTTAAAAATGGCCAACCCTATACCAGGATCCACATCATTTCTAGAGAACTTGATGCTTTTTTTTATTGTTGTTATGATTTTAAATGAACAATAAAAGCTTTGAAATACCTTTGTAATAGTCTCATAAATTTACATCAGTGACATAAAGTAAAGATTTTTCTCCACAAGGAGAGATTGATGAAGAAAAGTGGACGAAAGAATAAAATAGGATCAAATGATAGCCACTTGCTGAAGATTATTCTGCTATCTGTCTGGATCTATCATATTACAGGTAGTAAATGCCATTATGAATTTAAATAAAAGTCATTGCTCACATATACTTGAATGGAAGTGAGAGGGAGCAGTTTGGTATATCTCACTGTGGGGACATGACATTTAAAAGCAATCAAGTTCATTTCTTTGACAATGACATCTCATTTTGATCAAAACTAAAATGAGTCCTGTCTGTTCTCTGGTGGGTAACAAGACTGCATGGAGAGTTTAGCACAGTCTAGTGATAAAATAAGAGAACAGACTTAAAAACTAAGGGAGTCATGCATTTTGTAATGAGAATGATAGCTAATATTAATTTTGTACTTACTATGTATTTGAATATCCATTAGCTCATCTAATTTTTGTTATCATCTTCTGACATACATACTATAATTACACTCCATTTTATAAATGAGGAAACTGAGGCAGAAAGTATCAAATAACTAGCCCAAGGACACCTAGTTAATAAGTAGAGGAGTCAGAATTAGATGTCTGGTATTAGATGCCTCTTATTATTCAATACCTTGTAGATACCTTGTGGATTAGGATATTGTAATATTTTGGATTCTAGAGTCAGAAAAAACTGGGTGTGAATCCCAATTTTTTCATTTGCTAGGTATATGGTTTGGACAAATTTCTTAGCATTTCTCAGCCTGAGTTTTCTTATAATAATATCTAAACCAAAGGTTTTGAGGATTAAGTAAAATTATGTATAAGATATGTATATAAAATCCTTAAGAATGTAAGTACTCAGTAACTGTTCTTCTATTTCTCTTTTCTCTTTATCACTTCTTTCTTGTCTGTCTTCTCTTCTTCCTCTCTCTCTTCTTTTTGTTGTACTCCACATTACTGAACTTATCTTTTCCTTACATCATCTTGTGATCAAAGAAAGTCAAATATTACAAGCGTAAGCCTTGAACCCTACGTTGACTCTGTTAGGAAGAGGCATTGGGTCTTCCTTATTTGCATGAAAAGAGAGTATATTAGCAGTTGATCCAGAGCTTTGAAGATGAAAAGTATCGTGTAACTTCTTGCTGCTATAATTAATTCATCTGTGCTTCAAATGAGCTCTTTCACAGAGATGAAATTATCATTGTTTTCATATATTTTCTCTTTTTCTTATAATATTCCTACCTTCCCCATTGTCATACTCTACCCCACCCTTGCTTCTCAGGCCTTTCATATTTAAATGCCATTGCAAGGTGACAGATTGAAATTTTTTCTCTGTATTCTAAAGTTGTATGCATTGACCTTTTGGAATAAAGCTGGCATTTTGAAATTAGGCTCAAGAGCTATTAGAATTGCTTTTATGAATCATGGCTGAAGGTAGATTAGGTCTGGAAGGTTATCTATGCTAATTTTCATCTAGAAAGTCAACTGTCTAGACCACAAATCATTCATTCATTCATTACATCTATTAAACATCTATTCTGTGCCAGGCACTACGTTTGGTTCTATGGATATATGACCTAGAAATGAGTCAGAAAGGAGCCTACTTTCTGGTAAGGGAGATAGACATGTTATGATAGTAAGAGGTATTTACTGAACACATACTTAAAATGCCAAGCTCCTTGCTTATAATGCCTCATTTAGTTTTCACAACAAATATCAAATAAGGAAACAGAGGCTCAGAAAGGTTAAGTTATGTGTCTATCATTTGAGTCAGTAGGTGGTAGACTAGGATAAAAACCCAAATCTTTCTCATGTTAAAGTCCATCTTTCCACTATTCTCTGCTGCTTCATGAGTTAACATACTATTTTGATTTATGCATGAGTGCAACCAAGATAACCAAGATATGGTAACTGGTGTTTGAGACTGTAGCAACAGCCATATCCTATTTATATTTGACCTTGATTGTGACCCCCTTCAGTTCCTAATGTGGGTGATTGACAGTCATAGAATGACACCTGCTGAAAGATGGAAATATCCTTGAGCCCTTCTGTCCTAATTAGCTATTTCTGACCAATGCCATCATCAGGGTCCTGGCAGAGGGCAACTCATTAAAGGTAATGCTTCTAAATAAAGAAAAAAATTATAGGAATGGGTGGGAAGTAGAAATTTTGATTCAACAATTATTTTTGTGACAATCAAAGGTTAAGTGATAGTCAGGACTTTAGAATCATTTTGAAGTTGAATCTGGGCTTAAATAGGACTCCTCTTTTTATAATCTTCCCTTGTTCAAGGAGAAAGCAGTGTTCTTTATTATCATAGCCATTGCCTGGAACATAGTTGTCATTCAAAATATACTTGTTCAATAAATGAATGAATGTATGCAGTGTCAAAAATGTTTTCCTGAATCATAATTATGTGTGATGTCCATGCTTATCCTATACTGTCTGGGAGTTTTGGGGTACTTTGGGAATAGCTGTGTAGACTGGAAGGTGAACCTTTGTAAATTTTTGAATGGATGCAAAGATTTCAAACTTATATCAATGTATTTGATTTAGCAGGCTATTAGTATAGTGTAATGTTTAAAAGGATGTGCTCTGGACTTAGACTTCATGGGTTTAAGTCCTAGCTCTCATTTATTTAGTGGGTGATTTTAGACAATTTACTTATCCTCTCTAAATCTCTTTTCTCATCTTGTAAGGTGCGGACACTAGTCATATTTTCCTCATTGTGGTCTAAAGAGAGAGTGCATGTATAGTAAAAGATTCATTGTTGTCACTGTTATACTATTATTTGAGCTGTTCATTAAAGTAGGGACTAAGGCAAGGATTCCATAGCACAGGGTTTAAAAAGAAAGTTCAGGAAAAATGTGTAGTTGTGTTTGTTATGAAATTGGGTCAGTCCTGGTCTAAGAGACAGAGCCAAAATTAGACTAAATGTGTAAGAATTTTATTAGAGGAAATATCTATGTGGGAAAAATGGGGAGATGGCTGGCAAAAGCTAGGAGAGCCACAAGAGTGACTCCAGACATTGGTGTGAAGACCAGTAGTGAAGGAGAGACAGAGGGACTGCTGAGCGGATGTGCCGTTTACTTCCGTGGGATGTGAGGAGAGGCTCGGCAAGGCTGTGCGTCAGTGTCGGCTATCAGAGGAGTCTCCTAGGAATAGATCTGCCTTAGTATCCCTGCCACCTTTAGTTATGGGCTGGGAGGAGCTCCAGTGCAAATGTGGCATAGAGCTCAGAACCCTATAGCTGGCGCCCTTGGTCAATTATTTTCTCTGTGTTTGGAAATTTGCAAGGCTCATTCTCACTGTTGCCACAGAAATTAATTCAATAATTCAATTACTATGTACATAGAATTACTTTGCTAGAAGTTGTGGGAAATATGAGGATGGTTAAGACATATTTCTGCTGCCCAGGCACATGTAGGTCAAACATGAGGCAGACTTTATTTCGTGCCAAATGAAGTATAGAAAAACGGGGCCTAAAAGAGCAGAGAAACAACTTCTGAGCTGAGTTTTGCTTTGAAGGATAGGTGAGCCTTGATGGGAGTGGGGAGTGGCCTGGAGGCTGTGTCAGACTGAGAGAATAACATAAGTAAAGGTGTGAAGGAGGAAAACATGACGCTTACATGAGAAAACTGTTAACACAAGGTATCTGTATATGTGGATGAGGGTGGTTGTTATATTAGACATGGGATGAAAGTTGGACATGATTTTACAAGTTGGAGCTAATTTATAGAGTGCTTTGAATATGAAGCTATAAAGTATTCAAACAGGCCGGGCGCGGTGGCTCACACCTGTAATCCTAGCACTCTGGGAGGCCGAGGCGGGAGGATTGCTCGAGGTCTGGAGTTCGAAACCAGCCTGACCAAGAGTGAGACCCCGTCTCTACTAAAAATAGAAAGAAATTAATTGGCCAACTAATATATATAGAAAAAATTAGCTGGGCATGGTGGCACGTGCCTGTAGTCCTAGCTATTTAGGAGGCTGAGGCAGGAGGATTGCTTGAGCCCAGGAGTTTGAGGTTGCTGTGAGCTAGGCTGACGCCACGGCACTCACTCTAGCCTGGGCAACAAAGTGAGACTCTGACTCAAAAAAAAAAAAAAAAAAAAAAAAAAGAGTTAAAACAACTCAATAGCAAAAAACCAAATAATCTGAATGAAAAATGGGCACACGAGCTGACTAGACACTTCTCAAAAGAAGACATACAAATGGCCAACAGGTATATGAAAAGATGTTCAACATCACTAATCATCACAGAAATGCAAATCAAAACCACAATGCATTATCATCTCACTCCAATTAAAATAACTATTTTAAAAGAATGCAGGGAAAAACAAATGCCAGTGAGGATGTGGAGAAAGGGGAACCTTTGTAGACTCTTGGTGGGAATGCAAATTAGTACAACTACTATGGATAACGATTTGGAGATTCTTCAAAAAATAAAAAATAGAACTACCATTTGATCCAGCAATTCCACTACTGGGTTTATGTGCAAAAGAAAGGAAGTCAATGAATTGAAGTGATATCTTCACTCCCACATTTATTGTGGCACTATTCACAATAGCCAAGATTTGGAATTGACCTAAGTGCCCGTCAATGTATGAATGGATAAAGAAAAAGTGGTATATACAATATATATATATATATATATACACACAATAGAATATTATTCAGCCTTAAAAATGAATGAAATACTGACATTTGTAGCAACATGAGTGGAACTACAGGCATTATGGTAAGTGAAATAAGCCAAGCACAGAAAGACAAATATCACATGTTCTCACTTATATATAGAGGCTAAATAAATGGATTTCATGGTGATAGAGAGTAGATTGGTAGTAACCAGAGGCTGGGTAGGTTGGGGGTTTGCGGGGGGAAGAAGATATGTTGATTAATGAGTACAAATATCAGCTTGATAGAAGAAATAAAACCTGGTGTTCTATATATCAGTAGGGTGACAATACTTTATAATGATCTATTATATATTTGAAAATAGCTAGGAGGGAGTAATTTGAATGTTTCCAGCACAAACAAAAGACAAATATTCAAGCTCGTGTGTATACTAATTACCCTGATTTGATCTTTACAAATTATGTGAATGGATTAAATTATCACATGTACTGTGAAAAAATAAACTTTATTTTAAATACAACCATTGAAGGTTTTTAAGTAGAGGACATAATCATATGGGGGTTTTAGGAAGAAAGCTCTGTGGTAGCAAACAGAATATACAGAAAAATGATGTCAGGAGGCAAAAGAATGGCTTACAAAGACAGCTACAATGGTTCAGATAAAAAGTAATGAGAAAATCAATACACAGAAATCAGAGGCATTCGTATGCGCCAACAACATACAAATTGAGAACCAAATTAAAGATTCAATACCCTTCACAATAGCAACAAAGAAATTAAAGTACCTAGGAATATACTTAACCAAGGAGGTAAAAGACCTCTACAGGGAGAACTATGAAACACTGAGGAAGAAAATAGCAGAGGATGTAAACAGATAGAAATCCATTCCATGCTCGTGGATCGGCAGACTCTACATCATTAAAATGTCTATACTACCCAAACTGATCTACAGATTCAACGCAATGCCTATTAAAATCCCATCAGTAGTCTTCACAGATATAGAAAAAATAATTTTGCGCTTTGTATGGAACCAAAAAAGACCCCGAATATCAAGAGCAATTCTAGGCAACAAAAACAAAATGGGAGGCATTAATATGCCAGATATCAAACTATACACAAAGTTGTGCTAATTAAAACAATCTGCGTATTGGCACAAAATAGTATTGACCAGTGGACAGATTTGAGAATCCTGATATAAAACCATCCTCATATAGCCATCTAATATTTGACAAAGCAGACAAAAACATACACTGGGGAAAACAATCCCTTTTCAATAAATGGTGCTGGGAAAACTGGATAGCCACCTGTAGAAGGCTAAAACAGGACCACACCTTTCACCTCTCACAAAATCAACTCCGCTGGATAACAGACTTAAACCTAAGGTATGAAACCATTAGAATTCTAGAGGAAAATGTTGGAAACACTCTCCTACACATCGGCCTAGGCAAAGAGTTTATGAAGAAGTCCCAAAGGGCAATCACAGCAGCAACAAAATAAATAAATGGGACATGATGAACTAAAAAGCTTCTGCACAGCCAAAGAAACAGTCATGAAAGTAAACAGACAACGTACATAATGGGAGAAAATTTTTTCATCCTACGTATCTGATAAGGGCTGAACTGAGATACTTAGACTCACGAAATCAGTAGAGAAAAATCAATAACCCTATTAAAAAGTGGGCAAAGACTTGTACAGTAACTTTTCTAAAGAAGACAGAAGAATGGACCAACAAACATATGAAAAATGCTCATATCTCATAATCACGGAAATGCAATCAAAACTATAATGAGATATCACTTAACTCCAGTAAGAATGGCCTTTATCAAAAAGTCTCCAAATAACAAATGCTGGCGTGGATGTGGAGAGAGAGGAACACTCCTACATGCTGGTGGGACTGCCAACTAGTTCAACCTCTGTGGAAGCAATATGAGATACCTTAAAGCGATAAGTGAATCTGCCATTTGATCCAGCAATCCCATGCTGGGCATCTACCAAAAGATCCAATGACACTCTACAAAAAGACACCGCACTCGAATTAGCAGCACAATTCATAATTGCAAGGCTGTGGAAACGGCCAAGTGTCTCAATCCAAGAATGGATTAATAAAGGTATATGTATACATGGAGTACTATTCAGCTCTAAGAAAAACGGTGCTAGCACTTCTATTTTCCTGATTAGAGCTGGAACCCATACGACTAAGTGAAGTATCCCAAGAATGGAAAAAAAAGCACCCCATATACTCACCAGCAAACTGGTATTAGCTGAGTAGCACCTAAGTGGACACATAGGTACTACAGTAACAGGGTATTGGGGAGGGGAGAAGGGGACGGGTATATACATACATAATGAGTGACATGTGCACCATGTGTTGGATGGTCATGCTGGAGAATCAGACTTGTGGGGGGAGGGGGAAAGGGCATTTATTGACACCTTAAAATCTGTACCCCCATAATATGCCAAAATAAAAAAAAAAGTAATGAGAGCCAATTCTAGGGGACAGAAGGTGTGGGAGAGGAGGTTAAGAGGCATGTCAAAGATAAAGGAAGCAGAATTTGGGAACTAGACTTTGGGGAAAGAGAAAGCAGTAACCCTTCTGCTTGAAAGTCTGAGTATTAGGATGCCATCAGCTGAGAGGACATAAAAAAGGTAGAAATAAGTTTTGTAGAAGGTGAATTCTGCTTTGACATGTTGAATTTCAGGTATTTTCCTAAGATTCATGTAGAATGCCCAGAAGTTTGGAAATGAGTATCTAGAATTCAGGATTAGGTTAGGTTTAAAGCTTATGTATCCTAATAATGGAAATGAGTCTGGTTCCTTGGGTATAAATAAAAGTGTGAAAGGAAAAGAAGACTGAAGTTAGAACCCTGGGGAATAATATGTGTCGTGGAGGTAAGTGGACAAAGAGGAATCCAGAGAACCAAAAAGAGCTTTGCAGAGTGCAGGCTTAGGGCAGTGTACGTGTGGTTAACTGTAAATTGTGACAATGGTGAACGATTACTGAGCACCCACTAGGTGTTGTGTCCTACCCTCTGCACAGGTAAGCCAGATGAAAACTAATAGAGACCAATACATTTGTTAGCTAAACGATATTGGTGACCAATAACAGAGTAATTTTAATGCAATGGTGGGAGTGAAATTGAGACTACAAAGAAAAACTAAAAAGGAAATGATGAAGAAAATTTCTTTTGGAAAAGTGTATAAAATGACAAAAAATGCACAGCATATTTAACATGTTACCAAAAGATATCACTGAAATATTTTGCAGAAGTAACCCAGACAATAAGGTCTAATATATGTGTCTATTTATATACATATATGTACACGCTGATTTGTTGTGCTGTATTAGAATTGGCTCTGCAAGGTTGTCCATATTGCTGAATGTTCAAAAGAACTGCAATGTAGACATTTTTACAGGCAATTGATCTATTTTGCCATTTTAAAATTTAAGAATATGAATAATTGATATTTATTGACCACCTATTATGTGAAGTATATTCTATTATGGTCCCTGCTTTATAGGTGAGGAAACTGGGGTTCAGAGAGGGTACTTGTCTAAGGTCACCCAGCTACTAAACGGCAGAGCCAGGATTAAAAGGTAAGTGAGGCAACATAAAACAGTGGTTTCAAGAATGAACAATGGAGCCAGACAACTTGGATAGGAGACCTGGGACTTTAGTACTTTATAACTCTGACTTTGGCATATTACTGATCCTTTTGGCTGACTTTTGTCATTTGTGAAAGAAATGTAGATAATAAAATCTATCTAGTGGGTTATTGTTTTATATGTACCTAACACATTAGAAACACTTTAAAGGCATGCTATTATCTGGTTCTAGAGTCCAAACTTTAGCCACTGGGCTATATTGTCTTCCACAGAGTGTACGAAAATACACTTCTGGATTGGAGATGAGAATTGCAGAGGAAGGTACTTGATTTTCTCCACTTCACTATAAATTTAGGATGTATTTTTAGCCCTTGTCCTCAAGTTATTAAACATACACACAGTAGTAGCTTACATTTGGTCATAGTGATTCTATACTAGGTCAAGTACTTCTATAGTCATTTTATATAATGGTTTTGTTTATTTAGTTTTGTCATTTTAAAGATTTTCCTTGGGCTACCTGCT